TCGCATGCCTAGAAAGTCGTCTTATACGCCGGAAACTACGTTATTTCCGGTGTATAAGATGACTCGGCGTATAAGACGACCCCTGAGTTTAGAGGCTGTTTCGACGCTCTCAAAAGTCGTCTTATACGCCGGAATATACGGTACATGCCTATAAAATTGGAATACCTGAACTGATTTTTGAAAATCTACTCATGTTCATAGATATCAGTAATGAGGGTTTGCAAGCACAGTGCTGCTAATCCTTAAAAATATTCCCTTGCTCCCCAGCTAACCTTCAGAAACACCACTAGTTTCCTACAACAAAGTATGAATAATATTGCAATTACAAATCTATAACTTGTGCTCATATTTTGAATGTTGCAGCTATCACACAGTATTGTTTAACATAAGCCTAGTAAGCAGCAGTGGTGTTTTTTTTGGGGGGGGGGGAAACACTGCCACAGTGCTTCATATGGGAGAGTGCCCAGGGCAGATGCTGCTTAAGATGGTAGAGAATATCACAAAATAATAAAGCAAAATTTGTGCAGTTGTATGCTGTTTTCTTGTTATGTAAGATGTGTATTATGTTAATATTAATGACCCATTCTATTTGTGTCAGTCTCCTTTTCAAAACATTACAAATAGTATTGCAGTCCAACAATATAAGTACCAGTAAAGAACAGATCACTCTTTTTCTATTGCGATTGATAATGGGAAATGTTAAATAGGATGTTAGGGAAAAACTTGTTGCTTCCCCCATTGTGTCCTTATGCAGGAATGCTGATTCCTACTGCTGCTGGTGTGCAAATTCAGTATACAGTATTTTGAGCAAATGTTCACAGACGGAGAAAAAAGAATTTCTCCCTCCTTCCAGCTATCCTCTTAATTATAATCACTGGCTTCCTACAGCAGCGGTTCTCAACCTGTGGGTTGCGACCCCATTTGGGGTTGAACGACCATTTCATGGGGGTCGCCAAACAACACAGTCCGCCATTTTTTCCCCCTTTTCCTTAGCTGTGCTACTCCCTTTTATTCTATTGGCTTTTGAAAGCCAATAGAATAGACTCTCTATTGGCTTTCAAAAGCCAATAGGAATTGTCCAGGCTGTCTCTGCCCTGCTGAGCCCGTCAAAAGTCCCATTCTGCAAATGGTGCTGCAAGTTGTCTGCAGCGAAGGTGAGCTGTCTGGCCCCTTGCCAGCTACACCTTGGTCGGCACAGGGGGGTGGCACCACACATGCGTGGCGCTCCCAGAAAGGGAAAGTCCTCGACTTACGATCGGTTGGGTAGTCCTCAACTTACGACCAGTTGGGTAGTCCTCGACTTACGGCCAGTTGGGAGTCGCGGCATTAAAAAGGTTGAGAACCACTGTCCTACAGTATGATGTCAGCTACCTGAAAGGAGAATTCTTCCTTATTCACCGAGAACCAGTGGAGCATGGTGTAGTGATTAAGGTGTTGGCTGCCTTGACTTCCAAACAAAACATAAGATTATTAATCTAATAAATAAAAAATACATGAAGCTCCCTACTTCCTCCTAATACCCTGTATCAAGATTGCTGGGAAGGGAGGGCAAAGCAGTGATGAATGAGAGAGAGAGAAAATGGAGGCACATACGTGTGTACCATCATCAGTCTGTCAACTGATGCAGCTGCAGGAGCTAAAAAAAGTTGTCCATTTTTGTTCTAGAACAGTGGTTCTCAACCTTTCTAATGCCGTGACCCCATAATACAGTTCCCCATGTTGTGGTGACCCCCAACCACTTATACATCACCGGGTGCCAGGGGCATGGCCAAAGAAAAGGGGGAAAAATGGCGGACAGCCTTGTTTGGCGACCCCCGTGAAATGGTCGTTTGACCCCAAATGGGGTCCCGACCCACAGTTTGAGAACCACTGTTCTAGAACATTCCTATAGTCAAGTCCCTCCGCTTCTTTTCCTGGCAGGCAGCAAATAATACCAGGGAAACTGTGAATGGCTAATGCTAACAGAGAAAGAAAGTATCCAAGCACTCAGAAGATTGCTTGGATACTAACCATTCCTAGCACGTAGCTCCTAGGATGTCACACACATGTGAATGCAACTAAAAAACATGGCCAAAAAAAGTTCACTATCCCTGATACAGATAATTCTTTTAATAGCTTTTAATAACCAGAAAGGATATGGGTCCAAAAGAAGGGTAGTGATTTCCAAGTACACTTCTCAGATATGTCAGATTAAAAGGTACGCCTGGCCAGGCAACATCTATATTGCAGCCAGTTCTAAATCACAATGCATGATTTGCACTCAAAAAATAACGTAGCCAAGTTGGGTATAATTTTATGAGGAGTCTTGAAATCTTGGCCCAAGTCATCACCCAGCTGTCTTTGTGTCCAAGGCAGGACTAGAACTCCCGGTCTCCCGATTTCTAGACTGGTACTTTAATTGCTACACCAAATTCTCCACTGAAATTTTACTTTCCCTTAAATTTTTAACATTCATTGACTTAATTAAAATGAAAGTAAACTAAACTTTATTATGCTATGTCTTACTTAATACCTAGTGATTACTTCATCTAGAATAACCTAAGAATACTATAAATTATCTAAAATTAGGATTAAAAGTGAACAGGAATTTTAAAATGTGTTGCCTTTGCTGCTATCGAATGTAGCTGTTTTTTACATTCTTTTTCAATATGCAGGACATACTGATTTAAACTTATTCTTTAATTACTGACTTAATTAGAAAATTCTTTTATATTACTCTTAAGGAAACATTTAAAATATATTATATTTATTATTATTTAGACAATTTACCCCTGGAAATACTTAGCTGATCTTAGTAGATTTTTGAAACTGCCTAAGCAGAATTTAGTTTGATGAAATCTAACTGGGAAATAACCACAGTTGTCTGCTAGACTGGGAAATTTAAATCTAAACCAGAGGACAATAGCAATATCACTTCTACTTAGCTACCAAGAAAACTACTTGGAAGAACGCTTGGAGGTATTACGGGATTAGCTTCACTGAAGGGGATCTTTGCCTGTCCCAGTGTATGTCCATGGCTGGGGAGGGGATATTATTTTGCAAATCTATAATAATTTCCAGATGTTGTTGCTAATCATTGGCAGTTAGTATTGGGTGAATGTTTATCCTCTGAAGTACTATTATTGATTCCATTGTTTAAAATCATTGGCTGATCAGACTTTCTGATATACAATACATTCCCACCCTCCCACCCAAATTGTAGTGTCTTCTCTTCCATTTATTATGTTTATAGACATAGCATGGAAACAAGGTTTATTTTAACTGCTTCCACAAAAGTGAGGCTGCATGCAGACCATGAACTTAAAGGGTGAGGGGGGGGGAAGAATTGAGAAGAGATGCCAAGCCCACAGAGGTCCACAGGCTCAGGTGGTTTTCAACCATAAGTTTAGCTTAGCTCTTTCAGTAATTTGTCACGCCTTGGCTTTCCCCTGCTGCGCCAGCACGTGCCAGCTTAGTGTCAGAAAGTCTGTGCACCAGACGGCCACTCAGGCCTAACGTCCTGCTGTTCGGGACCAGCACTTGCTGTGTCAGTGAGGAATTGAGATCCCTAGCAACAGCCAAGCACCAGGCAGAATAAGCATGTTCATAATGAGAAGTGAATGGCATCCGTCAGTCCCTTTAGAATAGGTTCTAGGCGTATGGCTCTCTCTTAGGAAGTTTGGCAGACTAGTCATTAGCATCGAGTCATCAGCAATTCAGCGTATAACAGAAACGCGTATCTAAATATACCTAGGAATGGGATATAAATAAACCAGAGGAATGGGATATAAATATACAGTTACGTAGTGCGAAATACCTTGTTAGTTTCTGTTACTGCACAATAATGATACAGAAATATGAAAAAAAACCTAAAACATATTGACCTTATTTTGATTTATATGATAATCAGTTGATTTCAGTAATAATGACCAAAAAAGAAGTTGTTTGCCCTTTTAGAAATGATTTACAAGTTGCTTCTGTTGTATTTTTAAAGTGAAATGTGCTATGTAAGAAACACATTTGTAAAATATTAAGGAGTAACAAATACACCGATGAGAGTGTAGTAAAGAATTTACTCTTATTCCAAACCCTGAAGGAGTCTTATAAAAGTCAACAATGTTGTCATATTAAAAAAAAACATTGGAAACTGAAAACCTATTTTCAATCTGAATAACACTATACATGATTATTTACTGACCACTGAAGTCATAAAATCCAGTGTATGACAAATTTATCTACACTAGATATGTAGAAAATACTATTGCTGTAAAGAAATTAGAAATTGCACACAGAGAGATTTGCTGTCTTCCGTATGAAAAGATATCACAAGCAGGGGTCTTGTTAAAGACAGCTGGAAAGTTGCCTCTGCATGTTAGGCTTGTAAGCCTTATTGGTGACTGGCTTTTGATTATGCACTTATATGGTGTGTGTGTTCCAGGTTGCTGATTTTTAATTAAAGGTAACATCTTTGGTTTTAGATGCTTAAGACTAAAATGTACACAAGTTCTATTTTTAAAATTTGACTAGCTCAGGAAATTGCCAATTCTTCTGGAAAATCTCAGGCATGAAATATTAACATGTCTTAAGAATGTAGTTGATAGCTATATGTATTTTATTTTAAAATAAAATTTATTTTAAATAAATTAATTAACATTTCTAATTTTTCTGTCATAATAGCTCAAATGTATGTGCATTCATATTAATGCATTAGGGTAGAGTATATGTGCTTGTATGTATCTATTATACCACTTTTCCTTATTATTACATAATTTTAATTTATCACCAATGAAGACCCATTACATTTAATTTGAAAACCAGTGTTTTTAATGCTATAATTTGCTTAGTACTGAAAATATTACATTTATGTAAAAAAGTCTAAATGTTAAATTACTGCAATGCTTACAATTCTGTGACTTTGGAAATAGCAACTGTGGTACACTTTTCTTTCTATGTGTTATGTATCAAAGTTGAATAGTTAAGGCTTGGTAACAGAATGTATTTCCTTAACCTATGTCCAACAGTTATGAGGAAAGAGCAATATATCTTGATGAAATAATCCGGAATCACAAAGAACAACTGTCATTTGAGGATTTTGCTGCTCAGGTCTTCTCTCCCTCTCCCAGTTACTCCCGTAGTGGATGTGGTAAGTCTCTGTGTTATATTTATTACTACCGCAGTTACTACCATTACTATTATTATCATCATCACTAAGGATGACTTGAACAGCAGGTGTACACCTGTTTTTCACTGATAAATAGCTGCAAATTTAAGAAAACCACTTTCTCTGTGAATTAGCTAATGAATATCAAAAGAAATGATGACGCTCATTTTAATTTGTTTTGCAACAGAGCTTTTCACTCAATTCCTTTCTTCCCTGCCCTGTTAACCCTCCAAATCTAGCAAGGTTAATGAACTTTCTCTCACTAATGTGTTCTGGTTCATTCAAGAGTGCAGACTTCTTGCTGAGCTGAGAATATGTTGTGCAAAAGCTATTTGTGAATCAGTGCATTCTTATAAAAAAAATAGTCCCTCACAGTAGGACCCATTGCTGGTAATGTTAAATGGAGATTATGCTAGGAGAGTGCAAGATAAATACTATGTTTTGTCAGGCAATATCATTGCTTAGATATTTGATTTGTTGCAACACAGTTTTTGTTATGAGATAAATTTATTAATTGTTGTGTAATTTTTAAAGCACAATCGTTTTATTTTGATGGTCCATTTTGTGATTTACTGCTGTCTTGCAAAAGAATAGAAAACAAAACCAGGTGCCTTTCTTGAAGAACATTCCTTTATTCCTTACAGTCAGTGTCTATCTTCTGACACTGACATTTCCTAATTATATTGCAATGCTGTGTTGCATTGTTAAGTCAATGGATTATCCCTATTACCAGTGAATGTCTGGATGCATTTGTTTTCTTTCTTATTCTAACTGATCAGCTATTTTTTATATATGAACTAAATACAACAGAGATTAAAGGTACTGAAATGAATCACTTTACAAATAAAACCAGACATGCATCACGGTTTAACATGACTGGCTGTACTTCTCGAGCTTTGTTAAGAGATATGGGATAGATGCACATACTGTATTGGTCGCCAATGGCAGCAGGCAGAAGGCTTTGGAGATAAGCAAGCTGGCAGAAGTATAGAGGAACTGGTGCTATTTACATAATCACACCTCTGTTTCCTGGAGAGGCGTCAAGAGACGGGAATGGCCTCTATTGATCTTTGTTGAACTGGAATACTAAACAACACTAGGCAAGCTTATAAATAAAGCTTTGATTAATCTTTTCTCTATTAAAATGTGCAGCTGTGAATTGATTTGTATATATTATTTATATATCCTATCAAACATAGATTATTAGTCATTATCTTATGAAAGAGTTTCATAATTTTATAGAACAATTTCATGATTTGAGCACTGTGAACAACTGAACTGTTTATAAAGCAATAGTAGTAGAATGATTAAAAGGAATACATTATAAAAAAATCCATTCATGAAAATTAAATTTTATGAAACAGTGTACATAGATTATGGAGAACTGAGTTTCAGCCTGCATCTAGCTGAAATGTATGTACAAATCACATGTGATTTATACATAATTCTATTTGGCCATTCTAGAATTCATGCATGTAATGAAGGAGAGAAAACATTCCCAGCAATTTAGATATGAAAGTTAATTAGTCACTTTGAATAGAGGGCAGCAAATCTCATAAAATTCAAATTAATGAGCCAATCAAGTCTCTTCCCTTCCAACAAACATTGTTAAAAACAGTGAGAGAATATTCAGCATGCTTAATAGTAAGACTGCAGGTACAGGTGGTGTAATTGGGAAAAAGTTAAAATATGGATGTGGTTTACTTGTGGCTTGTCGTTGATCATCAGCCTTTTGAATAAGATCAGGTGTACTTATGATGTGCTGGATTCCCTTGTATTAGATCAGTGGTTCTCAACCTTTTTAATGCCGCGACCCCCAACCGGTCATAAGTCGAGGACTACTCAACCGGTCGTAAGTCGAGGACTACTGAACTGGTGCAGCACCGTTTGCAGAATGGGACTTTTGGTGAGCTCAACAGGGCAGAAACAGCCTGGACAATTCCTATTGGCTTTTGAAAGCCAATAGAATTAGACTCTATTCAAGAGAGTCTATTCTATTGGCTTTCAAAAGCCAATAGAATAAAATGGAGTAGCACAGCTAAGGAAAAGGGGGGAAAAATGGCGGACTGCGTTGTTTGGCGACCCCCGTGAAATGGTCGTTCGACCCCAAATGGGGTCCCGACCCACAGGTTGAGAACCACTGTACTAGATAAAATGTAAAAACGTCAGAGAAACCCATTAAATGTAGCTGGGGAAGTGTGTGACAGAATTTTGGTTGAAAGAGTACAAGCACTAGAATGGACAAAATTTGGGAAGGTCAGTGCAGTTTTATGCGAGGCAGAGAATGTCAGACTAGGTTTTTGCTCTTCAACAGGTTATTGAAATTGCATGAATGGGAGAATGAAAGGTTATTTTACAATTGTTGATTCAAAAAAAGATATAATAAAATTGAGTAATATGGAGTTGAAGATTGGCTGACCAAAATAATAGAGTAAATGTTGGAAATAAAGCCTGATTCAAATTAAATGAAATGCTTAGTTAGTAAATAGTTCAACATTGAACTATGATGGTGTGGTGTCTCCTTGGTTGTTTAATATAATTATCAAAATATGTATGAGGAATGTTTGGGTTGATGGTAAAGGTATGTTGACTGAGGATATGACTATAGTATATTTTTGTTTGCAGATGATGCCATTTTATTGGGTGTGCAGTACAAGTAGTCCTCAACTTACGATCACAATTAAGCCAAAATTACTGTTGCTAAATGTGATAGTTGTTAAATGAATTTTGTCCTATTTTATGACCTTTATTTCCACAGTTAAGGCAATCACTGCAGTTGTTAAGTTAGTAACACAGTTAAGTGAATCTGACTTCCCCATTGACTTTGCTTATCAGAAGGTCCCAAAAAGTGTTCACAGGACCCTGAGACACTGCAATCATCATAAATATGAGTTAGGTGCCAAGTATCTGAATTTTGACTATGTGAGCATGGGGATGCTGCAATGGTCACGGGGAAAAAGGTAATGTCACTTTTTTCAGTGCCATTATAACTTCAAAGGTCACTAAATGAACTATTATAAATCAAGGATTACCTGTAAATATTAGTTACTTATTATAAGATGCAATGAATAATATGGATCTCAAAATTAATGTTATCAAAGACAAGGGTAATAGTGTTTGTCCAGGCGAAAATGGAGGGAACAATTTTAATTTACACTACCATAAAGCAGAAATATTCATTTCTGTATCATTTCATTTCTGTATTCATTTCCAGGAATGGAAAATGGATGGAGAAATTTAAAGATGTGCAAATGTTAATAGAAAAGTAGCAGGTATTAAATGTTTGTTTTGTTTTGTTTAATATATTATTGGTAAAATATAACAATTAGAAGTACAGCCCAACATGTAACAGTGCTACTAATATTCATTATAATAATTAAATGAGTAACATTTGAAGAAACTATAGATATATCCATAAACTGTTAATATAGAAGTAGCTCCATTCTTTAACATATTCTTGAATCTAGCCATCTATTGATCTATTTATTCAGTTTTAATACAATGCAGTATGTTATTTCAACACAGTGATATTTATATAATATACTTAGATTCTTAATATTCTATTATTTAGGTGCCTTAGAATAATGGATACAGATAAGAGAAAGTAGATTTTCTACCAATATTAATTATAGTTGTGGATATTAATATTACACATATACTTTTCTTTCAAAATTAAATAGAACATTGGAAATGAAATTTAGAAATTAAGGAAAAACATAAATCAGGGTATTTATTTTCCAATAAAGATGTATGTCCTAATTTAAATTACTTTATATTAATCTACATTGTGCTATTACTGGGGGGAGGAACAATACATGTATGAATGAATGTGGATATATGTTTTATACATGTTGATAAGGGAAGAAAAAGGGACTAAAACAAAACAAATTTGGAAAACTTGAAATATTAAAAAAGTAAATTTAAAAAATGCAAAAGAGAGAATAAAAAAATTAGAAAGAGAAAAGCAGGAAGAGGAATAAGCTGCAAATCTAAGCAACATTCGAGGATACTGATTGTTTTCTCAGAATTAGATTTAAGAAATAATAGAGCTGCATCAGTATATTGATGGCATTCTGTATGAAAGCCCTAAATGACCTGCCTTAGTGATTTCACATAGATGTTAAAAAGCAAAGAAGACAGAGCCCTGAAATGTCCTGGTGTCAGAGAAAGATCCTCCACCACCATCTTCCGATTATATTCTGGATGCTCCAAATCACTGCAAAGCAATGCCCTCCCCCAAAGCCGTCTCCACAAGACAGGTCAGGATGCTGTGGTTGGTGGTGTGGAACGCTGCCAAGTGATTCATGAGATAGAGCAAGATGACTCCCATCTAATTTTCAATATGCATCACCCACAAAGTGATTAGAACAATCTTGGTATCATATTTATGCAAAATCCACCCCCACCCTGAGCCTGCCATCACTAGTCCCTATTACAATATCGTTCAATGCCATGTCAGCACAAAAAGGGTAACTAATATCAACTTTGTTGTCTCATAACATTTTTGTCCAGTCTTACATCTGGAGCATACTATTTTCTGTGATAGTTCCCAGTCTCTATATTAAATGTAATTTCTGTGTTGCAAGCCACTCTGATAAGAGATGCTGTTGGATCTTGTGTCATACATAGCTAGATGAAAAGCTGACCCCTCTGTTTTAATGGTTTTATTATAAATCAGTACTGTCTACTATGATAGGTCAAGACTGCAATTTAATCTGGATACCTGAGCTAGGTGTTCTTTAGCAGGAAGAATTGTAATATATTTAAGGAGGAAACATATATGTCACACATGCAAGGTGGGGATTCATAGCTTGGAAGCAACACATCAAATATATTTACTTGCACATTTTAGATGGTTGGACTGAATATAGGATCTTTTATGAACCCTTGAAATTCCACAATTCTATGGTTGTGTCTATTCTTTTATTCTTTTTAGAGAATATTTCTGAATTATACAGTGGCTAAAAGTTGTAGGGGAAGAGCAGGCAGAGCTGGGGGGGAGTTAAACATGTCATTAGCTTAAGGTCCTTATGTTGCCACAAATAATCCAATTTTAGCCACTCTTGAATTCCGTTGATTTTTATCTAGTGCCAAGTTAGTGCTGACCATTAGTTGACTAGATTCTTGTATATAGGTTTGAATAAATCTGTGTGCAACTTAATGTATGGTCCTGATCCTTTGCACCTGACAAGGTTGTATAACTGTGTTTTTATGTGACTGATTAATCTTAAGTATACAGGTAGTCCATTCAGCAACCGTTATGATGGCACTGAATGAAGGTGAAACAGAAACAGAATAACAGAGTTGGAAGGACCTTGGAAGTCTTCTAACCCAATCTCCTGCCCATGCAGGAGACTTTATACCATTTCAGTCCCCTAACAGCTTCTCTAGAAACAGGTTCTCTGGAAAGAGTGGCACCATCAAAATTGGGCTTTCTTAGAACAGACATGTCAAACACAAGGCCCGGGGGCCAGATGCGGCCCACAAAGTGGTTTCATGTGGCCCGTGAAGCCATCCTGGAAACAGTGAGGGAACGCCCCCCCCAGGCCGGCCGGGAGCCAATGTACAATTTTGTGGTGGCCATCTATGCTGAAACGCATTCAGTCTTAGCTCCACAAGGCCGTCCAGAAACAGCGAAGAACCAGCCCCTGCCGTGTCGGCCCCGCCCCCTGGGTGCATGCTGGGGAGATGTCACCCTTTGTGAGGAATGAAGAAATGGACCATGCCTTAGCGCTTGTCCCTTCTGTCTGAGATCCTCAGATCTGTCCCACTCCTGCCCAGGCACCCTTGACATGAACGATGTAGAGCTGGCCACGCCCACCCAGTAGGCCACACCCACTCCATCCACGCCCACCCAGTAGGCTGCACCACCCTGACCACACCCACCAGGGCAACCGCAATGTTGATGCAGCCCTCAATGAAATTGAGTTTGACACCCCTGTCTTAGAAGCTCTCACCAGTCTTCCTGCCAGCTTAGTGTCATCTGCAAATCTAAGTAATTTATGAAGATATTAAAGTGTACTGGGCCTAAGATGGAACCTTGTGGTATCCCACTGCTTACTTCCCTCCATGTAGATGTAGTACCACTAAGGACTACTCATTATGTACAGTTTGTCAGCCAGTTACAAATCCGTCTGGTGGTGATGCTGTTTATCCCACATTTTTCTAGCTTATCAAAAAGTAGGTTGTGGTCTACTTTGTCGAATGCCTTACTGAAGTCTAAATATACTATATCCACAGCATTTTGCTAGTCTACTGATTTAGTCAAAAAATGAAATAAGATTGGTTTGGCACGATCTGTTTATATTCCTCAAGATCAGACAGGTATTCTCTTACCAGTTTCTGGCTTACTTTAATTTTTATTTCTAGTCTGTCTTTTACAGTTGTGTTTTTGGTAGGTTGGGCTATAGTTTGTTTTTGCCTAAAGACTGATGCAAAGAATAAGTTAAGCAGCTCTTAAGGAACTTACAACCTGAGCCCAAAGTTATGTCATATGATCAAAATTCAGGTACTGGGCAGCCCGCACACAGTTGCAACCATAAAGGCACTTCAGCTCCTCCCACTTGCCTAGCTTCCTCCCCATCTATGCCCTTTTGACCCCCTGCTGCCCTGTGCTTCACCAGAACCTGACCTTTGGTGTCTTCTTTATCCAACTACTGACAAGGCATGTCCGGACTGGCTGCAGGGACTGAGACTGAGACTGGGCTTCGTGTTCCCCCCCCCAAAAAAAGCAAAAAAGGCAAAGGGCATGCTGTAGCTCAAAGGCTGCTTCTGGCTTTTTTTTTTTTCTTTCTTCCACAGCCAAAGCCCAGCTTAGCCCAGCAGCCAGACTAAAGACACACCTTGTCAGCAACAAGAGCAAGAAGAGCTCATTCATAAGCAGGCTAAAGATTTGGAAAAATAGGAAAGACTATTTTTAAAAGTACCATTAATATTATATTGCTATATGCAAAAAGTGTAATACAGGCACAAATAACAGAATTTATTACAATCAACCAGACGTTCACAATAGGGTCTCACCAAATAGGCTGTATGATAGTACAAGCTAATTGACTAACGTAACTTTCATAAAGGAATTATACGTAACCTAGAATATCTGTGCAGAACATATTAGCTGAGAACCAGGCCTGTTAGTTGCAACTAATCAGTGTTCAGGTTTACAGCATACAGTATATAGTATATATACTTTGTGTGTACAAACGTGCACACACACACAAGCACAAACACACATATTTTGAAAAAATCTTAAATGTAAACTTTAAATCAGCTTTCAGTTCTACAATACTTTGATGGAATAAGAAGAAAGATCATGGATCAGAGGCTTCTGATATTAATTTAAGATGTTGCATGAAGACGTCTCTTTGCAGCAATAGGGATAGGCAGTTCCCTAGCCTAGTTCCTGTCTTAAAGCGTGTATTGCAGATCCATTGTTACCTAGTTTTTATTAATGGTTTGGTGCAGAGACGCATGATAAAGGAATGTCATCTGCAAAAGCAGATAAGTAAATCTTTTATCGTGCTGTTGCTGAAATGCAGCTTGTAGTATTGGATTAAGAACTTTAGAAGCCATCAATTCCAACTGTGTAAAAGAGGACCTGGTTATTAACAATCCTCCACCAGTAGAGCATTTGCAAAGAGACCAGGTGGACAAAATGGCAAAGAGGAGGAAATTTTAGATCTTTATATATTTTAGAGTTATGTTTCATATCTCAGGCTCTTGGGATCCCCAAATATACTTAGTATAGGCTATAGTGATAAAGTAGTCCAAAGAAGATGTTTACATTACGCTTTAAAGCAGTGGTTCTCAACCTGTGGGTCGGGACCCCATTTGGGGTCGAATGACCATTTCATGGGGGTCGCCAAACAACGCAGTCCGCCATTTTTTCCCCCTTTTCCTTAGCTATGCTACTCCCTTTTATTCTATTGGCTTTTGAAAGCCAATGGAATAGACTCTCTTGAATAGAGTCTAATTCTATTGGCTTTCAAAAGCCAATAGGAATTGTCCAGGCTGTCTCTGCCCTGCTGAGCCCGCCAAAAGTCCCATTCTGCAAACGGTGCTGCACCAGTTGAGTAGTCCTCGACTTACGACCGGTTGAGTAGTCCTCGACTTACGACCGGTTAGGGGTCGCAGCATTAAAAAGGTTGAGAACCACTGCTTTAAAGTGTTGCAGCCTTGCATCTTCTGTACTGTTGTTGATGGGATTTGATAGTGTCAAATGGTTCTTCAGTCAACATATTAGGGTTATTGAATTACAAAAGGATATCAACCAGTTCCCCTCATACTTCATTCCTGTGAGAATTAAGGATGGCTCACTCCTGCCTTGATATCTTTATAACATCATGTCCATGAGCAAAGGAGTAATCATTTTGACACACTGTAATGTTCTGCCATCTGTGCTCCAAAGGGTTGTTGTTGTTAATTGCGAAGTCGTGTCCGACCCATCGCGACCCCATGGACAACGTTCCTCCAGGTCTTCCTGTCCTCTACCATCTTCTGGAGTCCATTTAAATTCACACCTACTGCTTCAGCTCCAAAGGGTACATTTGCTAATAACCCAAAAGATTGAAAATGCTGAGCCAGAGAAATGAAGTATGGGGAATGTGATTGTGTGCTGCAATACGTATTTTATTAGTCTTCTAGAGCAGAGGTCCCCAGCCTTTTGGGCACCAGGGACCAGTTCCGTGGAGAAAGGTTTTTCCACGGACCGGAGAGGGCGTGGTTTTGTGTGCTGCCTGCATCCCACGGATGGGGCTTTGCTTGTTTGTGCAGACCGGTTGCTGGCATGCCGCGGCCCAGTACTGGTCCATGGACTGGGGGTTGGGGACCCTGTTCTAGAGTCTATACAGTATATAACTTCCCATATCATAAGATTATCACAGAGGGCCAAGCTATCTCCCTGATTTATTTGTTAGCTCATCAAAATTCAGAATCCTAAAAGTTATTGTATAGCATGGGGCATGTTCAAAATTCAAGTGGTAAAAAAATATTTCATTCTGAATTATACTTTTTAGTATAAAACCTAGTTTATGAAGCCTTTAAAAATTGAGAGGATGGGAAAATATAATAAGTGAAATAATATCCTATAATGTTTGCCCAAAATATGAACTTCCACCATGCTGTAAAAACAAAATAGTAAGGAGGGGTTTATTTGTTTAATTATCTGTATCCATTTGTTCTGAATATTTGTTTACAAGTTCATAACTGTATAAAGGGAAACATTACTCTGAGTTTTGGGGGGGGAGACTGTAATAAAGTTAAATATATCAATATTCTGCTCTATCTGCATGATAACTCCAGATATAATTTTCAAGCTTTTAATAACCCACGTTAGACAATGTATTCAAATAAGGAAAAATAGCATTGTAGAATTATTACTATCTACATTTTATTTCATAATGTGACTGATGCTCATTAGGTTTATTTCCAACTTATGTTCTCCTCCCATTAATAACTCTGTAATAATATGTGTATAAGACTGTCATCAGAGCAGCAGGTGCACTATTCCCATATTTACATACATTTGTGTTCTTTCCCTTTAGATTAAAATATGTAATGATCTCGTTACGGTAATTGAGAAAGGTAAGAGTTTGCTCACATGGCATCATTCTCAATTTACTAACTAGATTCCTTCTGTTGCTTGTATGGAGCTGAAATAGCTGTCATTTAATTTGGACTGGTCTCTTGCTTTTCCACTGGGTTTGCTTTGAGAACAAATGGTCCTTGTTTATGTCTGGTTCGCTAAGGAGCACTAGGCAGAGTATTATTGGTAGCTCTCTGGCCCTGAATGTTTAAGCTTTGCTAAAAAAAAAAAAATCTCTTCTTTCTTTCTTTCTTTCTTTCTTTCTTTCTTTCTTTCTTTCTTTCTTTCTCTTTCTCTTTCTTTCTTTCTTTCTTTCTTTCTTTCTTTCTTTCTTTCTTTCTTTCTTTCTTTCTTTCTTTCTTTCTTTCTTTTTCTCTTGCGCCTGTTTGCTTCAGGCAGAATTTGACACCAACACCTGCCATGGTGGAAAATGTCTTTGTTGCTTTGCACTTTTGTTTGAATTGCTGCAGGGGAGCCAATGGGAGTTAAAACCATTTACTTTTTTTTGTTGCCTAAGCACCATGGAATAGGATATTGAGATGGTGCCGATAAGGAGTGGCACGTGCTGTGCTGGCCCTTTGAGTTAGCTCAGCTTAATAAGGGGCTCTTTTTCTGGGAAGGGCAGATTGCTGAGCTTGGGCCTATGAATGGAACAGCTGGGGGAAGAAAAGGGAAACAAAAGAGGGAAAACATAGGCTGCCCTGAACCTGGCAATTGGGGGGTGCAGTTTTGGAGCCAGAGAGCAAGCTGGCCACACGCCAGGTGTGACCTTTGCAGTCTGCTTGGTTCTGCTTGTTTGGGCAATTTCCAGTGCAATCCTGAAAAGGAAGAAGGAAGCTGCTGGGCGGCAGGGCATTGCTGGATGGATGCATTCAATGGGTTGCTGGGACACTAATTTAACTCTTGCAAAACCAGCCTGCAGATAAGGAGAACCGAGGAGTTTACTAAGAACAGCTTGCCTAAATGGCCAGCTCTTCAGGTTGGTCAATGAGTCTGCATTATATCCCTGCATCAGCCAAAAACTAGCCTTCTGTATCAGAGATAGATAATTATTTAGCAATTTCTATGATGAACTATCCCTAAGGAAAGGAAGCCACTTATGTTTCAAAGGGTAAAATGTCCATTAGTTATAAATGTTTCACCGATTTAACTTTGCTCACCTTACTTGCAAGTGATTCCATTTAAATCAATTTCCTAATATTTTATTTGGAGACTGAGTGTGTCTTTTATTATTCAAAGATGAATGGTGATGAGGTACACTTTCCAGTCAAATATGTTTTTTAATGGTTTGCATAGTTTGCACCAGGCAAAAAATATCTGCCTCTTATTTAATAATCTCTCATTATAACATCTGAATTGTTTTATGGAAACAGTATTTGCACTGTTGTTTTCTATATAGTGAGATAGGAATATGAATAGGATTCCATTCCTAATGATGAGAATAAAAACCTGAGCACCTGAAACTTGTGTCATATGACTTACAGGTGAAATATTTATATAACAGGATTGTATCATTTGCTTTTATTTCCTAATTCTGCAACTTTTTTCTACACATCAATCAAATGGGAAAATGTATTTGCACATTCCAAACCAGAATGAAGTAACATTTCAATACAGTCATTTTTCAAAACCAAAAATGTGTGGAAACAGTTTATATCAATGAAAACAGTGCAAGAATTTCATTATGAAAGGAAAATACAATGTCCAAATGTGTTCATTAGGAAAAACATGGTCATATGTAAGTGTGTATGAGAACCTTTACATATGAACTTTACATATAATCATAATCATAATTATAAAGTTGGAAGGGACCTTGGAGGTCATCTAGTCCAACTCCCTCCTTAGGCAGGAAACCCTACACCAGTGATGGCGAACCTGTGGCACGCGTGCCAGAGGCGGCACTCGGAGCCCTCTCTATGGGCATGTGCGCCATGCCCCGGAGATGGCAACCATCGTTTTCAACCAGCCGCCTGCTAACTCGCCAAGGTCCCACGTGGCCGGATGCATCCCAGCACCCATGCACTTGCTAGCCTCTGTGTGCGGGGGCCACTCCTGCCTCGTCTTGCCCTGCGACATGGCACCCCCGCCCTGCCTCCCCTTGCCTCGCCTCACCCCACAGAACCAGCCTCTTGCCCACCGCCCCATCCGCCAGAGACCCCTGGATCTCCCCCAACCCTGCCTGGCCCCCACAGGCGTCCCTCCCCACGAGCAATATTGGGCTGGCCATCCCCACCTATCTGCCACGCCCACCCACCATGACCACTGTAGCCACGCCCACCCACCAGGCCACGCCCACCCGGCAATACATAAATGGGTTTTGGATTGAATTTTGGGCACTCGGTTTCTAAAAGGTTTCCCATCACTGCCCTACACCATTTCGGACAAATGGCTGTCCAGTCTCTTCTTAAGACTGTGGCATTAAGTTTGAAAAAAATGAGAAACTAGGCAGAATTAAATTCAACAGATTAATCCACCCCTCCCTATTAATATGACCCAAGAAAATGCTGACTGATTAAATGTATGCTTTTGAAATACAGGCAGTCCTTGACTTGCAACAGATCTACCTGGATCTACTTACGACTGAAATTCTAAGTTTCAGTAGTCCTCCCACCCACCCCCCGTAATCATGTGACCAAACAGAACGCTCAGCAGCTGAGCTGCGTTTACAGCATTTGCAGGGTCCCACTGTCACATGTCTTTTTTTTTATGATATTTTGACAAAAGCCATCATTTATTTCTGGTTTTCTGCAAAAATTGCACCCAGTGCAAAGCATTGGTTCACTTAATGACGACTGCAGTCATTTAACAGCTGTTGCAAAAAAGATGGTGAAATCATGTGACTGACCTGTCTTATGACTTACTACCATGATGGGAGGCTCTATTACAGTCATAAGTCAAGGACTACCTGTATGGAAAATATTGCAAGACAAATAAGTAAGAATGGTTACAAATGAAACATTCCATTCATCTGCAGAACATTCAATTAGAAATATTCTGTAGATGAATGGAATGTCTCATTTCTGACCCTCCTTACTTATTTGTCCTGCAATATTTTCCATATTTGTCAAACTGTTTTTGCCAGATTTTTGAATGAGCTTTGCTTGAATTTCCTTATTTGGAGGAGAAAAAGTATTATTTTAACTCTCTACCGCTCATCTTAAATTTCCTAGATTAAATTGAAATGTTACCCTTCTAATTCTGTGAAATATCTAAATGTTCAAACAGAAAAAGTATTCCATGTTAAATTGCTTAAATTAATACATCTGTAACAAAGAGGATAAAAAAATTAGCAAAAAAAATAGCATCATACAGTACCATTAGCCTTGAATTGTGCTTCAAATATGATTTACACATTCACAGATTTCTATTTATACACCTACAGAGAATTTTGTCCAAAAAGAATTTTCTGGAGGAAATAGCCCATTTTCTTCACCAACAAACATGCCACAACATAAATCTCGTTTCCATTGGGTTTCATAGTCACTGAAATATAGGTACTTTAACTGCAGAACATCTGATAAGAAAGTAGAGTAGACTGAAGATGAATCCTCAAAGGAGCAGAATTAAATAGTCTGTTTTAGTATTTCTTCACAGTCTATGTATAAAGAGCAATAATAACAAAAACACTTCCCTGCCTATCTATTTAAAAGCCATACCTGAAATAATTGAAGTATTTAGGCTGTAACCAAGTGGTCAGAATGCCATAAACAATGTCGAATCTACAGTTGAGAGCCAATGTGATATACTGGTTAAGATCCTGGAAATCTAAATTCAACCCTACATTCAATCAACCTAGGTGATTTGATGAATAATGTACTGTTTGCCCAAACTACATCATAAATTGTTCTTGTCAGCATAACATCATGGGAAATCCTCATATAAGACATCTCAAGCTTCTGGAGAAATGGCAGAATATCCATGGGGGGGGGGGGAAATGGCAGAAGTACATTTTTAGCTATTAGGCCAGAGTAACATTGTCACATACCATAGTTTTGACACAAAAATGTATATCTGCAACATTGTCCTTCATGGTGATTGATAATAGGCTCATAAGCAATCATCATTTCCATAAAAACATTTGACATACACTTGTAGTATAGAATGCACTGGATCTATGTTATATGGAGCTAATTGAATAGTGCAAATTGCAGAACTATGGTTCTTGGAAGATTTTAACATCCATACTAAAGATACTACAGAAGGTGACTCCAAATTTAATGAAATCTATGACAATCAGGAGGCTGTCTCAAGTTTTCATTAAATCAATAAACAGCAACCACAGCACTTTGTCTTTTATTTTGCTTAGAATGGATGCCATGAATGATCAATTATAATTTTTCAGTCATTCAGAGGTGTAATATTGAGTGGCACCCTCTCTCCTTCCTAATATTTGAGGGGTATATACTATTAGACTGCTAGTATGGATTAATAGATGATGCAATGGCTCAGAGGTTAAAGACACTGAGCTTGTCAGGTGGAAAGCTGGTAGCCTGAGTTTGAGATCCGAGTGCTGTGCGACAGGGTGAGCTCCCATTACTTGCCCCAGCTCCTGCCAACCTGTGAGTTTGAAAGCACACAAATGTGAGTACTTTGGTAGGAAGGTAAATATGTTCCTTGTGCCTTTGGCATATAGTCATGCTGGCCATGTGACCACGAAAGTGTCTTTGGACAATGCTGGCTCCCTCAGCTAAGAAATGGAGATAAGCACCACCACTAGAATTGAACAAGGGAAACTTTTATCTATGGATTTATCAAACAACAAACAATTAAAACAGCAGCAATATATAACCAGTAATTTAAATACCAAGATAAAATTTATTACCGTAAGATAGAGCAATTATTAATCAATAATACCAATAATTGGTTGAATATGTGCCATCAAGTCCATATTGACTCTTAGCAATTACATTATTAACCCAGATTCTTATTCAAGGTACAAATGGCCAGGCTCAAGTTATCCTTCTTCAGACACATTATATAAAGGGTTAGATCCCTAGAAAAGGCTCTGATACTGGGAAATGTAAAAAAAGAGAAGAAGAGGATGACCAGCAGCAAACTGGCTGGATTCAGCAATAATGGCAATGAGTGCCATTGCTGGGAGATAGTGTTGGGAACAAAACTGCTCCTCTTTTAGTCAGTAGACTGTTGGCCTTATTTAGATAGATTTTCTCCATGATGATCTATCCCTAATCTGGTCTTTCAGGTATCCCAACAGTGGCACCCATGAATGTTATTGTGTTATGTGATGGAGCCCTTTGATGTGAGGATGTGATAGGAAAAATTGGGGGAGGGTGGGTGACCTTCTAATATATGAATGTCCTATTCAATCAGGTGCTTCCCAGGTGCTTGATGGTTTGCTTACTTCCAAAGGGAATTTGGGATAAATTTGATACAAATCAACCGAGGCCTAAGTTGCTATCTGGAATGCAGAGGTGATGATGGGCTCAGATCACATCACAATTGTGCAGACCCCACTACATGTGGATCCTGGTTAGCCCCCAGGTTTTCAGAGGCACTCCAGAAGATAAAGTCGCAGAAGAGATGCATACTGTACCCCTGGAAAAAAATGAAGAACAAATTCAATTGAGCATGACTAAGCATGATTGATAAGAATGGCAAAGTATAATTAATGTATATATTTGCAGATTATAGATTTTAGGTGCTGAAATATACCCCAAAACTAAGTTCGGCTTGTCTACGTATGGGCTTATCTGCAAGTGTATTCGATAATACTTTTTCAAAATACCCATATACCACTTATATACTCACATATAACCCATCTGCAGATAAGCTGATTTTCAATTTTTTACCCAAAATACCAAAACTGTGAGGGTTGACTTATCTGGAAATGGGCTTATATGTGAAAATTTATGGTATTTTTCCACTATTGTCACATCCCCCGGGAGCTGGATAGCCACTCTGTTTAAGTGATTCGGCCCCTTCTGTTTAAAGTGATATCAGAGGAACATATGCAAGGCCACTTTGAAGACTATTCCTCTCTGACAATAAATTCCATTTTGTCATTCCATCGAGATGAAACATTATGCACAATACAAGCATTTTCAACATACATAAGAATGCATCTTCCTATGTATAATTTAAAAAACCAGATGAACTTTCTTCTGTTTATGGGAGTCATACAGATAATTCTCCATTCTCAGAGGAATGTGTATATTGCATTTGGCATATACAAACACCCACATGACTTTGCAGGAGATGGATAACGTTTTTTTAAAAGTTCTTTACTAGGAGAGAGCTGATGAAATGGCATTTGCATTTACAGAAGTCTCCTGGGACAGATCAAAGACACAGTAGCAACAACTGTGCTTGATTGCAACATGCATTTCTCTGTTCCTAGGAGCATTGATTATAATTATGCTAAAGAACTAACTAGAGTTTTTGCATCCTCATTGTCTTATGTGCATGTATATATACTCATTTTTTAAATAAGTTTGATTGCTTTTGAATTAAGTAACTTTTTCTCTTCAGTTAGATGCAATTTTAGTTAAAATTCTACATACAAAAACTCAGCCACTTTAAAGAGACTAGAATGTATTTCTAAATAAAAACATCGTAAATTATGATGTCTTTACAAGAGAAAAATCAATTTAAACAGAAACTGCTTTATCTGTTTTAGGAAATTAGAGTATTATATAAAAGTGAACTGTTTGTACATAGGAGGAAATTACATCTTAAACAGAACATAAGGAACAATTGTTATTCCATAGCATTCACATTCAACCTCCTAATATACAGTACATTCATCCCAAGATTGTGAATTTGGTCTTACATCAGCACAAATTGTTTATATGACTTTAGGTTAATGTTCATGTGAGCAGTAAACAACAGATTGCTTGGATCAACAATATAGTGAAAATAGAAACTAAACTCTAGGTGGGGAGCATAACTATTAGAAGTATCATAGCTATTTTATATTTCCCTGGAGTTTCACTTCCAAAGTATTGTTCAAAAATCCAGCTCAGAAGCTAGTATCAATTTACTACTGCTCACCTGAATCCAAACATTTTTTACCCTGGCAGACACACAGACACACATCACAGTAAACTGTTAATTTTGCTGGTGATGCTGTCTCTGTTTTGTGAGTGTGAGCATGTTACTCTTCTAGGAATTGCATCATGTGGTAGCAGCTAGTTTCCTTTTTTCTTCTTAACATTTGCATGTTTGTCTGAAATAGCTGCCAACATCATTTGCTAAGCTATCTGTAGACTATTTCCAATTGTATTTTTGATACAAAAATATAAAATGGATGCCATTCATCCCTTTGGCTTACACCCCTTTGCTATGTGTGCCACCAATCAAACACCACTCCAGATTTTGAGCGTTCCTGTCAATATCTGAAGCTAAGGAACCTTGCTTTATTAAAAGATTTCTAAATTACCTTTAACATACAATAGTATTACAAAGTTGAATAAAGAAATGTTACTTATTTTATTACTATTTTATTATTATTATTAAAATATTAATAATAATATGCATATTTTCCAACACCACTCTAAGATTATAGCATAAAATTCACTCATGCTTTTAAAGTAGAAAAATGGATGACATTTTAAAATAAGTTAAGTCTTTAGAGAGCACACTTTTTCCCCAAGAATCAGAGGAAGGTGGCCAGCCATAGCACAAATGTGATATAGAACACTGAAGTGGAAGTCACCACACTTCAAGCACTCCATCACACCAGCTATATACTTTACTAAAATCTGCAGGTCCCTGAAAGGAAGTCAGTCAGTTTGACATCCCTGCATTATACCATTAAGCATTTTCAAAAGACAAACCGTCCAATCCAAATAATCATTAAGCATCGTCAAAAATAAGAACTCTTTGTTTAATCATAATCAGAAAAAGCTGTGTGTGTGTGTGTGTGTGTGTGTGTGTGTGTGTGTGTGTGTGTGTGTCATGTTATCCACCAAAGCACCAGAAGGCAGGACAAGAAATTGACCAAAGAGAGAAGCAACCTGGAATTAAGGAGAAACTTCCTAACAGTGAGGACAATTAACCAGTGGAACATCTTGCCTCCAGAAATGTGGCTAGACAGTCACTTGTCTGAGATGGTATAGGTTCTCCTGCTTGAGCAGCGGGCTGGACTAGAAGACATCCAAGGTTCCTTCTAGCTCTATTCTATTATATGTATATATAAAACTTCCTCCAGCCACTCTTAAATCACATAAATAAAATCCTAACCTTGTTTTCTTCTACCGTAATATCTTTTCCTTTTCTCTTAAAATTCTTTTTAACTTTAAAGTCCACTTGTAACCTTCATAAATCAACTCCAGTAATTCTTTTATATTTCAGTTTAAAACAATCTTTCTTAATTGTATTGTTCCATTTTTAAATGATCATCCAATTGCATTTGTAAATCCAGTATCTCCATCTTTATCTTATAAGTTGTAATTTTAAATCCACCCTAGATTCATCTCAGTTATGCCCAGAGGGATTTGTTCATCTTCAGTGGTAAAACATTTTCTTTAAAGAAGCCATCTTGTGCTCTAGTAATCAACTTTCAAAGTCTTGTTTTGTAAACAAGATATAGTTGCCCACACAAAAAGCTTTTTCTAATTAACTTCAGTCTTTAAGTCAGTTTCACAAGTCTTAGCATTTATAAAGTTTAGCTGCCAATTTTAGCTATGTCTGCAAAAAATGCAAGCATTGGCTCTCCTCACCTCACAGAAAATCTTCTGAATAAAATAGTATTTTCTATTATTCCTACTCCATGATGATAATTTCATTTATTATAAAATATGTTTTGAAATCTGACCTTTGGGACTGCCAGCAGAAACTCAAAACCTTATTTTTGTGAAGGTTCTGTAGAAGAGAAAGAAAATATCTAGCATTTTCTCCTTGGAGGTGTACAATTGGGGCATCTGGTTTTTGATGTTCTCAGTTTGTAGCCTTGGTGACAGTTTGACAGTCTGCAAAGGGGGGGCAAGTGATGTACCAGCTGGGCAACAGGTTTAGGTATCATTTGACAAGAGCAGCGCTTGTGCAGATTTGTCTTATGCCACTTTCCTGAAAGCCCTTTCCATCTGCTTGTAGAGGGCGGAGTTGGACATGATTTATGAAAGCAAGCTGATCAGTTTCAAATCTTGTATGGCTTCTATTTCAACCCCTGCAACTTCCATGCATTGTAGAATCTTTTTTAATCAATAAATGTAGAGTTCCCTATGTTGTAGGTTCTTTAATATATGTTTTAATATGATATTCTTCATTTTTCAGACATTACTACATGTTTGACTGATGATTTTACTGCACATGTAAGGACCGAATAAACAGAGCAGATTTCACCAATACCGACAACTGTCAAAAAAACGTTTCTCGGAGGTTGCACTCATTGACCAGTACTCTCAGTAAACCTTCAAGTTAAATATTTTGGAAATTTAAAATAATTGAAGAAACCTACATGCTCATCTGCTCTATCTTTCCGGGTGGTAATTTTGAAAACTGCATAATGAAGGGTCTTTTTTATTTTCTGTTTTTTTCTGTGAAATCATTATTCCTTAAATTTCAAAGTTAAATTTTTCATATTTTCTGGTATTATTTCCTGGAGTTCACTTAATTACTTTCTGCTATGAAAGATTGAAGTCCAGACTTTTTATTGCCAGTTTAAACTGTGATAAAATACTTGATTTATCTAATTTTAGTTTGCCAATTATGTGTCATCTAAAGGAGGATTCAGAACAGTAACTGAAAGCACATCTTCTTAAAAATGTCTTAAATGTTACATTAATAATCTCAGTATAAAAGTAAAGGTGACAAGCTCAGCATCTTTAACTGATAAGCTATATGTTCCTGGAATCTCAGTGTGGTTTAAAATTTACTGGAAGAAAGTACTGTTTTATTTCATTGATGGAGAGCTACATTTAGCCAAAATGAAGGACTTTTGACTAATAATTTCCTTTTTATATTAAAGAAAAATGCTGCAAAGAACAAACTGCTTAGTATATAGATGAAAAGTGATTATGCCTTTACAATACCTTTTCCAATATACCATCATTTTATATTAATTATTTCCGAAGTTTATTGTGCACATAACCGACAATAACTACTTAACAATCAATAGCACTTTTAATTTATATAGTTAAATAAAATACAACAGTAGTAAAACCTACATTGATGGTAGGTTTGTAAAACCTACAGTTGCCTGGTAAAATACTATTTCATATGCAAGATATACAGTATGAACCTATGGCATTTAAATCTTGCAGTGAGTAGTTAAGTGGCTTGTGCCAAGTCAAGGTTCTAATTTCTGATTGTTCTGTTCGACAAAATTTCAAAGTTAATCCTTTAATCTGTGCTATTATGAATACTGGCTACTTTATCAACACAGAGCAGCTACTTAACTGATCACCTGGGGAAATATGGATCAATATAATGACTCAATTCATACAGCACACTACTTATGGCTTGCTTAGCCCATCTGCCTGGATTCATGTAATACATTGAATCGTAAACTCATGATACCATCTGAGGTTTGCACAAGACACATTTCCTGGCAGTTTGAAACCAGTTAGAATTGACAAGGAAAATAATTTCTATATGAAGGAGAATCATATTCAGGTATACAAAGCCTTTTTTGTAAAGTAATGTTTGAGATATTGGCGCAAACTACCGGAGTCCTTGCACAGTACACACTGTTAGTAATTAGATACATCTCACTTAGGAACACTTGCCAATATAGGCTACTTTATTTATTTTTCTGTGATGTTTGCTGAATATAATTACAGAAGTAAAAAAGGTCTCCAAGCTGAATTTGAAATCTTGAAGAGTTTATTGATACATTCATGCAGGATTTTTTTATTATTATTGTTATCTCATAAGAAGATAGCTGACCCTTGCCTTCTGCCAGGGTGGTTTTTAACTTCCCAGCAGAGCCCGAAAATCCAGGACTTCTTGATTGTTTTCTATTTAAATAGCAATCATCAGTCCCAATCTTGTCTAGCTACAATGACGACAGCCAAGTTTTATTACACAAATGCAAGAGAGTAGCAAACATTTATGCTGTGGGGTCTTGGAGTTTTCTGAACCTGGTGGTACCACCAAGCTTAGAGAGCACCAAGGATCTCCCCATTCAACCCTGAGTTAGAAATATTCTATCTGTAAAAATCTGTTCTTGGTTTCATGAGAATCCTGTTTTCAAAACTTTACTGCAGTAGCATGAAAAGGCTCCCTCTAACTGCAGTAACGGTTTTTAAGGTACTGTACTCTCTTTTTTCAGTAATTTTATTAGTGTATTTGTTTGCTACAGATTACCTCTTAAGGGGCTGCACAATATCATTATTAGAGAATCTGATAGTGGGATGGATACTTCTTTCTTGTTCTGCCCTCCAAATTGATTCTTCTCTGCTCCTTCTTTTAAATGGGTTTCAGAGCAGATTTAAGGAGAACACCGTGAATCGTCCAAATACACATTAATTTCTATGGATCTACAAAAAGTCAAAATCTAGCATGTAGTTTTTTTATTTATATAATTGGTAACAGACAAAAATGCTTATAGATGAAGCAACAATATCTGGAAACAATGTTGATGGGAATGAGATGAGTGGGAAAAAAATGTTTTTGAAGGCATAGCTTTAATTTATTTCTGATGCTATTTGCAATTAATGCACTCACTTTCCTGACATTGAATTGGGTATAGCAAACCTAATTCATAACTACTGTACTAAGTTGTATTCATCACAAACTTAGAGGCTTGAAGTGGCCCAATTATCAAGAATATAACATAATCAATTGTTGCCTATGGAGATTCCCAGTCATCCAGATCATGGTTGTCCCAAAGATGCTTTTTCAAAAGGCTACTGGACTTTGTTTTTCCCGGAAGACATTTCACTTCTCATCCAAGGAGAAGCTTCTTGGATGAGAAACGAAACGTTTTCAAGGAAAAACAAAGTCCAGTTGCCTTTTGAAAAAGCACCTTTGGGATACTCAGTGGTTGATCCACAAACAATTATATATACATTTTTGCATTTTATAATTATGCTTTGCATCTTTGAAATATATTACTATATTATGAAAGTTGTTTGGCATGTAAAAGAAGAGGTAGAATTGTGAATGTCTTGTATATATGTTAAACCAAACAGAATCAAATTGCAATAAACTACTAACAGCAGTTTAAGGTTTAAGTGGTTGGGAAACTCACATCCTTCCAGCAAACTGTAGGCATTTATTGATATTTGGGACACACTAAAATTTCTCATATGTTCATTGTAGCTTACTGACTATAAATACATAAGGGGATAAAAAGCAAACCATGTGTTGCCTTCAGGGATAAAATTACTCAAAAGCAACTGAATATGTTTAATGATTAATAAAGTCTTTCATTACCAAACAACATAGCCTGGAATTAATTTGTCGATAAAATAATCTTATTTTTGATATAATTAATAAATAAAATAATGTGTTAAATTATAATTATGAGTAGATAAGATTATTGTTTTCTAAAACACAATACAGTATTATTGGTTACATGTACTATTTATTTATCAAAATTACTGCCTATCTCACCTAACTAGGCAGTTTACAAATACTTAACGGACCAGAATGACATTAGCAGGACTATAACCACAGGCCTGCCTAGAGAAATGAGGGGGAGCGAAGCACAACTGCATTATTTTATGATGAAAATTATTTAATTTACATAATTGTATTTACTTTGCACGATGACATCATGATGCATATTTCATCACATTGACATCAGTGCAGCTTGTAAGGGATGCCACCGTTTGTAGATTGTAATAATCATTTACAAATAAGTAATATATTTGTATACCACTTGACTCGACAAATGTGGGTGACTAACAATCAGAGAACTAAACAATAAAAAATAAAGTGCTTAAGAAAGAAACGTCTGGTATTAAGCTGAACTCATTTAAATACTAAACTCATCTGCCTTACTAAAGCAGGAAAGTATATCCAAAGCTTTTACTTACTGCATAGCCATCATGTAGCACTTTTATGTAAGTATGGTTGTCATAAGACATCTCTTTATTGTTCACCCTAAGAACCTCAGCCTTTTGTCAGCACTGTCAGAAGAGACGTGATGCTATGCTACTGAGTAATGATACTTGTAAGTGAACTTTTGTTGAGTGGAGTCACTCAGAAGTTTAAGGGAAGGAATGTTTAAGGAATGCAATTTGGACCATACTAGTAGAATTGAAAAGATGCAGACTGGCCTCTCTAGAAAACTATCCAAACTCACTATTTTTTTCACATCTTTGCCCAAAGCATTTAAATATATTGTAGAGAAGCATACAAATAAAGGTGGTTTCATTGGATTTATTATATGTTCCCTTCCCAACTTTTATTTTAAAGCAGTATTGTAATGCTGTGATTAGATCAGTTTCTCTATATTACCTAGTTTCAACAGTCCTTCCTCTCCCCTACAAAGAAATATGTTAACTTGTGAGTAAGTCACCATATAGAAGCAAAGGCTATGCCCCAAAATGTGAAAGTACATCAGCTTTCTCACTCATGCTATGGTACCCTGGCTTGTGGATGATTTTCCTGCTGGCTAGTGATTGCCAACAAAGGAGAGTAGCCAAGCCAGAGGAGACACAACATGTAGCTCTAACAATTTATACACACACAAATTTGGACAGAGCAATTATCAGAGTCACAACAGATGCAGAAGAGAAGGATGCTGTGAACAACCCAATCCTAGGACAGCCTTTTTTGTGCCAATTCAAGTAGCAGTGAAAAATCTTTAAATCTACAGTGGGAAATTATCATAGTGCTTGCAAATGTATTTCGTTGTTTGGCATCTTGAAATACTGACTGAAATCAATAGCCGTTTGTCACTATAATTCAAACGATCCACTGCCGAGCTCTATAAAATTAATAACAAAACCAAAACCAGACCACTAAAATTCAAATTTAATTGTAAGTGAAGGCCCATTCATCTGTACGCTACAGAGCCTAGGAAGGGATGAAGGGCTTCGCTTGATATGAAAAGGATTTTGAATTTAACAACCAATTACCTTCTTACATGAGAACATACCACATTCCAGTTGCCTCAACGGAAAAGAAGGCGTCAGTTCAGAAGAAGAGAGGACTTCAGTCATTCTTTAGGAAACAACAGCGTTGGATGGACTTACGTAAATGAAGGCAATTGTTTAGAAACCTGAATCTCAGTAGTTTCATTCTTTACAACCCAACAGAAAATTGGAAAGAAAGCATACCAAAAGGCTTAGGATCTGTCTAGCCACCAACAGATAATTCCAAAACCAGGGTAGAATGGGAGCATATTGTTTTGTATGATCAGAGAGCTAGCCAGAAGAATCAAGTTAGATCCAGCTGGGCGTTGTGAGGAGAGAGAGAAAAAGGCCCAGGAAAGTTTCCGTAGTGCCTCCTTATGGGGAAAAGTGGGCAACACTGTCCACTCAATTCTTAAATTTACTTCCACCTCCCTGGTCACATGACCCAGAGAAGAGCTGCTTTGAATGAGTCAAAAGCAATTCCAGAAGCCTGACCCTGTGACACGTTTTCCCTGCCATGTTTAAATTCTGCAAAGGACATGCCTGTGGTCACTTTAATTTTTTACTCCACTGAAAACCTCTATGCTGGGAAACAAGATGGATTAAACGTAATTATAGATCAATTTTGCATTACCACACAGTTTTATATTATAATTAAATGTGTTGACGTAGCAGAAATCAACAAACCATGCAAGCAGCATTTTCATTCTCTTTAAATATAAATGTTTAGCAAGTAATTTCCTCTGCTAAAATTACAAATAAATCAACAAGGAAGAAACATTTCTTAGGTTTCTGATCAAGGCTGGAAACAAAAATCATTTCTCCACCCAGGCATAGATGTTCCCTCATCATTTCCCCCAACCACTAGATGCTTTAAATTGTGAATATTTTTTAAGCATATATTGATGCCCTGCCACTTCTCACTTAGATTGGCATGTTGTGGTTTGCACAATGGACAGCCTGCAAAGGTGTTTCTCTCTTCTGGTTATATTTTTCTATATGACTCCATTCCTGCTTAATATTAATTATTCTTTCTACAATCACTGTTTTTATTTCTTTTGTTTAACTCAAATATCCCACACAATTTATTGACTAATCGTATTTTAAAATCCTTTTCAGTATAATTAAGTGAATTAAAAATGAACATTCACACCAGTAGAAGTGATGGCATTTTGAAGAAAATGCAATAAACTGCAATCTGAGAATCCAGAATATATACTGTATTACATTTGTGATATAATAGATTTTTCTTAATAATTTGCAAATTAGTTCAAGTGAAACATTCTATTAATCATAAACTATTTCATCTTGCAATTCATGATAGACAATACCTCAAATATTTATATTAAATAAATTGATGTCTAAACATGCTGTCCATTCATGCAGTTTAAAAATGATAACAATGACATGTATTTACAGATTAAATCCATAGAGGAGCTTCTTAAACTTTTATTCCACTGGCATCTTGCCCCATTAAAAGCCATGCATAAGGTATAATTTTATCAGCTCAATATTGGATAGCTTTTGAACACTTTGGCAATTTTGCTATTTTGTTTTTAATTCACTTTGGGAGGAAAATAATTCCTTTATTATTCTGGATAAACTGCGGTAGATATTTGGGAAGACAAATCAAAACCAGTTTATTTATAGGGATTTGAATTTATCTTATTAGTTACGAAGTCGTGTCCGACCCATCGTGACCCCATGGACAACGTTCCTCCAGGTCTTCCTCTCCTCTACCATCTTCTGAGTCCATTTAAGTTCACACCTACTGCTTCAGTGACTCCATCCAGCCACCTCATTCTCTGCCGTCCATTTCTTCTATTGCCCTCAATCTTTCCCAGCATTAGGCCCTTTTCCAGTGAGTCCTTCCTTCTCATTAGGTGGCCAAAATACTTGAATTTCAACTTCAGGATCTGGCCTTCTAAAGATAAAATTTATCTATTGAAGTGCAATTCCCAGACAGTGTCCATTGCCCTATTGCAGGGCTTTTCAACCTTTTCACTCATTGTACCACTTTTAGGATATGGCAATAAACGAGTACCACCAGTCACCTAGCAAGGTGTCAAAAACTTGATGACCAAAAAAAAAGAAAGAAAAAGTGATAAAGTATAGGTAGTCCTCCATTTACAACAGTTCGCTTAGTGACTGTTCAAAGTTACAATGGCACTGAAAAAAGTGCCTCCCAAGCCACAGCCGGCGGTGCTCTTCCTCCTGTCCAAGGTTTTCATTGTTGTGAGCATTTCTGTTGAGGATTGGCAGCGGGGGAGGGGGAGGGGGTGTTTGGTTTTTATTCCCCCCTTCTGCTGGGTGGTTGCAGCAGGTTTTGGTCACTTCACATGACCCTGGGACACTGTGACTGTCATAAATATGAATCAGTTGCCAAGCATCTGAATGTAAATCACAAGACCCTGGAGATGCTGCAACATTCCAGCTGATCGGCACTTCTTAGCTCAGCAGAAGTGCCAGGATCAGTGCTGCTTTCCAGTTGATTGGTGCTTCTTCAGGGCTCAGCAGAAGCACGAGGATCAGCACCGAGCTCCAGCTGAAGCCTGGTGCTGATCCTGGCGCTTCCACTCAGCCTGAGAGCCCCAAAGAAGTGCCAATCAGCTGGAAAGAGGCATTGATCCTGGTGCTTCCACTGAGCCCTGACAGCCCTGCAGCTCCAGCCATCTCTTGCCCAGGCTTGTGCGGTGCTGCTACCGGTTCAGCTCATTCCCCTCCCCTGCTACCACTTTTCTAGGATGGTCGTGTACCACCTGCCAGGTGCCAATGTACCACAGGTGGTACCCGTACCACTGGTTGAAAAGCCCTGACCTATTGAACTGTCCCATTCATTAGCAAATTGTTGCTGTAGGGCATCTCTTTTAGAATGTGAATTTTCAGTCAACATTTCTGGGATCTTTTAGCTCCAAAGTCTGTCATTAAGGCAGACTGTCATTAAGGGTAGATATCCCACAGAGAGTGAATGGCATCCAACTCTTGGCACTCCAGAGGGACACACACACACACCACCAAGTTCCCTATAGCAAGTGAGGCCAGACATCTTGGATCTCTTCATTTTGGGGTGTTGAAGAAAATGTTTGAGGCAGTTATACTATTTCAAGATGCCTTTATCCAGATTTTTCCCTTTCTTAAGCTTTTAATACCTATACAGAAGCTCAAAGAATGGGTCTAAACCAGCGGTTCTCAACGTTTGTGTGACGGCGACCCCCGTCACACAAACGTTATGCGCATGCGCAGCGCGGGGCGCATGGGGCGGGGGCCCCGCGCACGGCACGCATGCGCGGTGGTGCCCCCCACGCGCAGCACTCATGGGGGTGGGGGCCCCGCATGCGGCGCGCATGCGCGGCGC